TCTATCTACTTCACATCTTTTTGTTAGTTGTTATCACAGATTTACTTTATCCCTATATACCTTTGATTCAAATCCATATTCATTTAACGTCTACATTTGGCAATGTGTATTTATTAATTGTGTGTATGTATGTCTATATATATATATATATATATATATATATATATATATATATATATATATATATATATATCTATCTATGTGTGTGCGTGTGTGTTTATGTGTGCGTGTGTGTGCATTATTAATTAAATCTTATTTTAGTTGATACCCATATTTATATACGCTCCCGTTTATATATATATATATATATATATATATATATATATATATATATATATATATATATATATAATTATATCTATCTATCATTCATACAAAAAAAAAAATCTATCTATCAAATATAGATCGTTATCTATGATTTAAATGGCGAATACATCTTCGCAAACAATTTCAATAAGATACACTAACCCCGAACCTGTTTATAAATTCCAGTTGCATAAAAGTCTTTTTCTAGTTTTTTACACCTATCTAGCTTTCGTCTGCTCCATCTATCAGACATCCTCAGGTATGGAAATATCTATTTTGTTCTTGTTTTTACTTCTCCTTCATATTAAGAGGACAACGAAAATATATCCATGTAATCCTATCTTATCTAAAATCTATGCTATGATTTAAATGTGTTTCATTGTTTTGGGATCGTGCGGTCGCAACGCTGAGTTTTTCATTTTATATTTTAAGGTTGTGCGTTCTTGTACAAATATCGTTATCTATCAATAAGAGAATTCTTTTTTTACTGGTAGGTTTTCCCATCAATGTATCCGTCCCCCCTTAACTATATTGTTCAATAATTACAGTAATGTCACATCCATCCATATTATCCGAAAATCCAGTTGCGTTGGATCATCCATTATTTTATCCATTTCAATTATAGGTTCCAATTATAATTTATAATTACATGAATCCATTCATCCATCAAAAACAAATATATATATATATATATATATATATATATATATATCCCCTGTGTGTCTATACATATATATATATCCATATGTGTGTGTGTGTGTGTATGTCCATGTGTGCAGTGTGTGTGTCATTATAAATTAAATCTATTATTTTTAGTTGATACCCAGTCCCACATTCATATTTCCATCCATATACGCTCTGTTTATTTATCAAACCATCCATCCATCCATCCCCAGTATATTTTCTTTTATTTTTGTCTCTCACCGTTCTGAATCCTCATCCCTCCATATCCATCCATCTTATTAAAAGAAAATATGCATCTATTTCCGGGACAGGATTCAAATCCATCCAGTCTGTCCATCCATCTTTAGCAGGAGATTCAATCCTTCGTTATCTCCGATCTATCATGCTATCTATCTCAGCTCTCAGCAATCTATGAAACTCATCGATAGTCAATCAAAACTGACCATCATCTATCTATCTCAGTTTTAAACGCAAATCTATCTTATCCTGATCTATCTCGAAATTCATTCATTCATCTCATAACTGCTCGGTTTGTATTCTATCTATCTATCTATAAAAGCGGTTGTTCAGTCTAAAAGCAGTTTTTATCCAATATAAAGTACTCCAAACTTTTGGGCCTGTATTTTATTATTTATATATATATATATTATATTTATATAGATTCAAACTAAAAAATACATGAGTTTAAATAATTAATGTCCATAAAAATAATTAAATACATAATTAATAATATTTGGAATAATCCGTATGAGATAATTCCAAAAGGATATAAATCTCACTCATCAGACAAGCCCAAAGTCAAAAGAGCAAAAAAGTAATAATTATAAAAAAAAACATAACGAAAAAAATTAACAAGAAACCCCAAATATGCATTTTACCGACTGAATGACACACATCTATAAAAGAAATTACGATATTTATTTTGTTATTCCTGTCGGATTCATATTTTAACGTACATTTGATTTATTAATTGTGTGTGACTGTCAAACTCATATATACCGACTCTTAAATTTATTTTCGGTTGATACCACATATTTGATATAAATATATATATATATATATATATTATATATATATAAAAAAATTATATGAAATACAAAAAAAAAAAAGCAAATTAGAGGTTAATGATTTAAATGGCGACATGAAAACAATTTCAATAAGATAAAACCCCGGAACCTTTTTATAAATTCCAGTTGCATCTTCGTTTTTTTATTTTATAAAAAATTCTTGGGAGGGAAGGTAAAATAGATTTTGTTTGTTTTTTTACTTCGGTATTAATTCCCACAAACGAGAAGGATAAAATGAAAAATGCGGAGAAAAGTTTATTGTTTTGAAAAACGCTGAGTTTGAATTTTTATATTTTTTGTGCGTTCCTTAACAACATAGTAATATTAAATTTTTTACTGGTAGGTTTTCTCAATGGGCTTTAAACTATATTGTTATATAATTATATCATTATTATCCGAAAGTTGCACGTTGGATTGTTATTTTCTTCAATTATAGGTGCAATTATAATTTATAATTACATGAATCATTCATACAAAAAAAAAAATATATATATATATATATATATATATATATATGTGTATACATATATATATATATATATGTGTGTGTGTGTGTGTATGTGCGTGTGTGCATTATAAATTAAATGTTATTTTTAGTTGATACCCATATTTGAGTATACGCTCTGTTTATTTATCAAACAGTATATTTTCTTTATTTTTGTCTACCGTTCTGAATATCCGCGGAATCTTATTAAAGAAAAATATGCTATTTCCGACAGGATTCAAACCACATCCTCTTTAGCAGGAGAAACCTTCGTTAGATCCGACATGCTATAGCTCTCTCGGCAATGAAACTCATCGATAGTCAAGCAAAACTGACCATCAACACGTTTTAAACGCAAATCTTAATCTTCTGACGTTAATATTTTTTTCGCTATTCTAGAAAGAAAGCAGTTTAAAGAAGTTAATTTTATTATTTGGGGGAATTTATAAGATTCAAATCAAAAATAGCGTTTACAAAATGATTTATAATATTTGAAAAATAATAAAAAGGATATAAATTCCCAAAGTCAAAGAGAGCAAATAATACCGAAAATCTTAAAAGACCATTTTTTATTCTTAGAATTAATAAAAATCAGACCGACTTCTTGATTAAAGGATTTTACCAGACTCAAAACAAAACTATCAGAACATAAATTATGTTTTAGATTACCGAGAAAATTGTGTTTGAAAAAAGTGTCCCACAGTCGGTCGAAATTGAAAACTTATATATATGGAACCCCATTGGTGTTTTCGAGTATTGCATTTTTTCGGCTAAACAGACTCATTTTTATTATGTTTAAAACGTATAGATGACTAAGTTGTATCTTCATGATTTTAATATGATCCCCACTTATATTTTTTTATTCTCAAAAAAAAATGTTAGTACTCTTTTAGATTAAAATGTGTCGGTCGAAAAGGCGCCTTACATTTTATGAAACGTGGATACGAAATCTTATGTTTAAATGATCCCATATATATATATATATATATATATATATATATATATATATATATAGCAATGTTGATTGATTGTTAGTTTCTGCACTGTCGATACTGTCTCTTGTTTATAGCCGCAAAATATCATTACCTGTTTACTTTTCGTGAAAAAATGTTAAGTCCGGGGAAAAAACAAAACAGAACATCGCACTGTCAATACTTTCTCTTGAGAAGGTGCCATATGCCGCAAACATTAAAAATGCCTGACGTTTATTTTTTTCGCTGAATGTGGAGATCTATCAAAATCGTGAAAGAAAAACCAGCCTGTTTGATAATAATAATAATAATAATAATAATAATAATAATAATAATAATAATAAAGAACTTGGGAAATGAGTTTTTCACTTAGGAATTTTCAGGCAACATATTTTGCAAAATGCGGTTCTGTGCAAGAACCAAAGACCATCTAATTCAGGATGTTCTATACTTGCCCCAAATGAATAATCGTCACGATCAATACTTTGTCAATGTAAACGCTAAAATGTGTAAGACTGGGTGTGCCAAATGTTACAGAAATAGAAAGATGTCACCATTCTATGGATTATACCATCCACACAGACAGAAAAATAAAAATGCTTCATTGACCAGAAAGAAAAAACTTAATATTTTTTTGGTCCAGCGGATTGCTGAAAAAAAAAAAAAAAAGAACTTCGAAATAGAAAAATGTAATTGGGAAATATCCTCTTGCACCTTGGAATTATAAAAAAATGGCATAAAAGAACTATCAAGAAATACAGAAAATTGTCTTATTAAAAAAATGTTTTGTCTATAATAATAATCGGAATAATAAAAAAAAATAATAATAATAATAATAATGTCAGTCCCTGCAGACTGTAATGTATCATTGAAGATATTCAAAAAAAAAAAAAAAAAAAAACTATCAAAATACAAGGACGTTGAAATAAAATCTAAAAAATGTGGCATATGAGGATATCAATAATTCCAGTTGTAGTTGGAGCCCTCAGATTGATTGGAAAAGGGTCCGATAGACTCAGTGAACGGATTCTTGATAGTCCATGCCTTAAAGAAATAAAACAAATTTTATTCAAAAGTACAACACACTCATTCCGAAGAGATTTATCTATGTAAAATATGTGTGATCTAAGATTATTATTTTTTTTTTAAAAAAAAAGATTCATCAGTGTAAAATTTTTCTCTCACCCTTTTCTTTTTATCTTTTTCTTTTTTTTCTTTCCGCTTTCATTTCTTTTGTCTTTTCTTTATTTCTTTAAATGGCGGTCTTGTGATTAATTTTTGCAATTTTCTCAGTATTTGATTTCCTTACATTCTTTTCTTTCATCCTTACCCTCCTCATAAGATGTTAATATATTTTCACCATTTCTCTTTCTTTCTTTCTTTCTTTCTTTCTTTCTTTCTTTCTTTCTTTCTTTCTTTCTCGTTACTTTTTGATCATTTCTTTCACTATTCTTTCTTTCTTTCTTTCTTTCTTTTATTTCTCATTTCGTTTTACTCACTTTAACTTTTAATTACCATTCCTAGACTTTACCATTCCACCCAAGACTTCCGCAGTTCCTGCACTTTGCAACAAAACAAACCCCTGGCCTTGTCATTTGTACGATTCTTGTTGCCATTTTCTTAAGCAAGTCATATACATGCATATGGAATAAAAAAATGAAAGATTGCGCAAGATTGTCTGTATAAATTGCATATATAACTATTTTAGTGGTTGTACTACTACTACTACTAATAATAATAATAAATATCAAATACAAGGATCTTGAAACGGAAATCTCAAAAATGTGGAACATGAGGACATCAATAATTCCAGTTGTATTTGGAGCCCTCGGATTGATTTGAAAAAGTTCTGAGAGACTCATTGAATGGATCCTTCGTAATCCATGCCTTAAAGAAATACAAACAAATTCTATTCAAAAGTACTGCCCACATATTACGAAGAGATTTATCTATGTAAAATGTGTGCGGTCATAGTTTGTTTTATTTTTATTTTTTTTACAAAAATATTCAGTGGAAAATGTTATGATGTCATTTGTGATCTTCGGTCTCTGGTTGGGACCCGAAAGAAAATGAGTATACAACAGAAATCAAAGGAAATAATAGGCTTAACATTAATAATGATAATAATAATAATAATATTTTGTAGATGTTTTTATATTTTTATACTCGTATGCAATTTTTGAACCTAACTTGAATAAAACAGACATACTGTCGAAATATTGTTGAACATTGTCAGACACTGTGTCTTTCCTTTACTTTTCTTAAATTCGCACTCATCTTTAAGTGTTTAATAATAATAATAATAATAATAATAATAATAATAAGGCCTTGATGCTACAACAGATATAGCTCTAAAATCAATGAAGATGATAACGCGTAAATATCCTGTTTAGTACAACAGATCTGTTTTTCAGTTTGGTATGTCACCAAAGGGTTGTGCATTCCGTGTTGATGAACACAAGTAGTAATGTCTTCTTCGATTTTAATTTTAAGTTCTAAATACGAGGCAATCAATGTTTGGTATCACATCTCGATACATGGGAACACCCTCAAGCGGGGACCCTCTGAACGGGCTGGGTTACTCGACCTGAAGGTATTTCTAACAGTGCCCACCCGACTGCAAGTTAAGCACTGCTTTTAAAAAAGAAACTGGCAATATATCGCACACATTTGGCTGTGGTGCATGTGCCTGGTATAAACTAATCAGACTCGGTGGTGATATGGTGGCTTTGTATATTTTTACCCGAAAGCTAGTTTGCTAGCGTGCTGCTCCCTCGCACAATAATAATAACAACAACAATATTAATCAAACGAGAAGAAAGAATGAAGGATAAACCACTACAAGAATGGGAAAATATAAAGAACGATGTGAGGCAAGTTCCAACGAAATCCCAAAAATGGAAATCCCAAGGGAATGACAAGGTACCCAATTTGGCTCTGTCATCTGTTATGAATCCATAAAATTCTTGCATAAACTTTATCAATGCTACTTAATAATCCCAATAAAGTCCCAGAGTGAATCAGCGACGGTATTACATATCTCCTATCAAAAACGGGTGAAACAGACGATCCAATAACTTGTCTGTCCACCACATATAAACTGATCACGTCTTTCTTGATGAACTGTACTTACTCTTTTTCTCGATAAATACAATATTTTCCCTTGGAACAGAAGGTATGTTGGAGAAGTTCATACGGTTGCAAAGATTTGCAACTATTGATAAACAAAATGATCCAGGAAAATTGCAGGAAAAGAGATAGAAATCTCAGCCAATCATGGATAGCTTACCGTAAAGGATTTTGATAGTGTTACACTCTTGGCAACTTAGAGATTCCCAAATGTACAAAGTCTCCTCAGCGATAGTAAATTTCTTAAAACACAGCATGGGAATGTGGAAAACCACATTATACGTAAATCACACCAAGACACTGCCACTTCTAGCCGCCTGAATATCCGAAAAGCAATCTTTCAAGGAGACTCCCTGTCACCCTTTCTGGTTTTGGAATACTACATACCGAAATGAAGGAGAAAGCAAGAAAAGAATACTACAGATGTGTGCGTCTGGTACTGAATATCGAGTTGAATTCAAAAAACAGAATATCAGCCAGAAACACCTTGGCTGTACCTGTGATGCAATACTGTTTGAACATCCTTAACTGGACCGTAGCTGACAATATGCAAATGGACGCCGTAACGAGAAAGCTTCTTACTCGCCATCGCATGCATCATCCCAAGTCTGATGTTGATCGTCTGTATGCGTCCAGATCTGAAGGATGCAGACGATTAGATCAACTAGATCTGTTTTACAAAACTAAAACAATAGGCCTTCAAAGATATCTTGGAACTACAAAAGATTGGATGAAGATCTGTGTCAAAGAACATGAAAGAAGTAAGAAATTTTATTCCGTAATAAAGGAAACCAACAAGTTCAAAATGATTTTAAATGGAGAAGAAATGCAAGTAAAACATAATACATCTACTGCAGCT